CGTGTCCAGTGAGTGCCAGATGATAACAACAAACAACATGGCTGCCATAAGTTTCCTTCAGATGAATAAAACAGCTGGAGTTTCAGTAATTCAATGTACATGTTGCACCTCAATATTTAGATGTATATAATATAAAGAAGACATTGCATGTACAAAATCACCAAACTAGTTGTTAATTTTAAAGATAAACACTTTTAATCATTTGACAGAATTTTTAAAACACTACACGCTAGTAAAACCAGTCTAAACATTAGTAGTGATAGCTACAGTGTAGATAGTAACTTCTAAACATGTTATAGGTGATTTGTGCAGTTTGAATACATTGCACAAAGTTTATTTAAAAAAAGCCTAAATGAAGTTAAAAAGCTGCTTTTTAATACTTAAAACAACCAAGGAACTTGCTAAAATGGCAAAACTGGCAACACATTACTGAAATTTTCATATGATCAACAATAAATAAATATAGTTTGATATTCTAAAAATAAAATTTGGACATTTTAATGTAAGGTTCTATAGAAATGTTATGAACAATCAATATCTAACCTGTTGCAGATAGCTCTTTGAACAATTTCGGTTTGGAGGCATATTGTTTTATTCTGAGCAGACCGATCAGCTGATGCGAGGGTGAAAGAGAAAAGTGCATTTCTGCTGTTTTAGTAAACTTTCAACCTCAAAAATGTCTTCATTATTTAAGATAATTCTATTTTCTATATTTAAATAGAACTTCCAGGGCAGCCTTAGGCACTAGTGACTGAAAGTAACAGTAAAGCGTTCTAATATGCTGCTCGTACGCTCCAGACTAGCCATTAGCTCATCATTCCTGTCCAAACAGTGCTCTTCTTCTTCAAACTGATGTTGTTAAAAGCATTATCTGCATCAAGTAACATCATTTTTCATAACCTTTCCACAAGACCCCACTTTGAAATGTACAAACTAGAATTGTTCTAGATATGCGCCACTCAAGGTTGGAGTAGCTGTTACTTTCATTCATGATGCGCAACCATGACAACAAGGTGGTTTTTACAACCAGGAGCAGCTGATGAACATCTCAAAGCTCAAATAATACTTCATTTACAGCCCCAAATCCCAAATGAGTTGTAAAGGAGGTGCCGTGGATGCATCTCCGTCTACCTGACGGAGGTGCTTGAGTGACTGCTGAGATCCTTGGAGCTGGCAGGAAACGTGACTCATGACAACAAGAAGACCAGGATCATTCCCAAGAACCTTCATATGGCTGTCTTCAATGACGAGGAGCTCAACAAGCTGCTGAGAGGCGTGACCATCGCTCAGGGAGAAGTTCTGCCCAACATTGAGGTGGTCCTGCTGCCCAGGAGGACCGAGAGGCCCGCTGGGTCCAGGTGGACAGATAGGCATCTGCAGCTAGCCTTCTCTGATCCACTGCGGGACGGACTGCTACAGATCCTTCCTGGTCACAGCCATCAGGATATATAACAGCTCTTAATGAAACCAGGATGATGAGTTACAACAACATTTAATTTCCCTTTGGGATTAATAAAGTATTTGAATTGAACTGAAACTATCCCTTTAATGCCACTTACAGATGTGCACTGCTTTCCATTATGTAGTTAACAATTAACTACAAAAAAGCATCAAAGTTGTTCTTTCACACATAAGGATCTATGTGTGAAAGAACAACTTTGATGCTTTTTGTTACCAATTTGTAACAGCAATCCTACAATGTTAACTTTATTAAAATTGATGCAGTATTGCAACACTAACTCGGTCCTCATTTTTGTGTAAAATCTAGAAGGGTCTGACAGATCAACATTTTTCTGTATTACTTTTTTAACAAAAGAAAAATCTAGATAGATAATTTATCAACTACAAATTTCCTAATTTCCCTGGCAGAAAACATCTGAAGTTATGTCTCAAAAGTTGAACGTAAAATGGATGTGCAAACAGAACTACTTCTGCAAGGTATTCCATCCAATTTTTGCTGCAACCAAGCATAATTTTTTACAGCACTTGAGCCAAATGAAGAAAAAAAATACTGTTTGCCTGCTACAGCATTTTGAGTTGGACTGATGATACAGCATCTTCTCTCAGAAAAAAAAAAAGATTTCCAGGTGAGGTGAAAAATAATGCTTTCTCAACTTGATAACAACTGCATTCATTACTGTAAGAACAATAAACCATTATGACTTAGAGGGAAATTAGAGTTTCATATAATACAAAGTCATTAGTTTAAATACACATTTTTTTATTCAATCGAATAATTTGTCAGTGTGTTTCACACAAGCCCATGATGTTGGACTTACTGTCTCATTTTATGTACTGTCAAATGTTGCAAAATAAACAATATTAATGCTGCAGGTATTAATGTAAATAAGACTTAATGTCTGAATAGTGAAAGATTACATTCTAATGTATACTGGATTTTAAAACATTCCCTTTGGTTTTACCTTTCGTCTCAATCTAAGAGAAAATTCTGTATTAACTGGTCTGGAACAAGCAGCAATGTAAGCACAGGTGGCTTTAAATCAGCTGCCACCTACAGTTGTAAAGAACTTATAAAATGGTTCAAAACAGAGAAAGTTTCAAAGTTATGACAATTAGTAAAAGGTGTTAAAAAATACAATTAAAAAAAAAAAAAGAACAGAAAAGTCACACTGCTTTTCTGATTCAAACACTATAACGAGAACCCATGCAGATTAAAATAATTAATGTTATCCCCTGTTAGCACAAAAATATTGATTGGATTTAATGAGTGTACAGAAAAAAAACTCACAAACAATTGAACTATGCTTAAGATTAGTTAACAAATATATGTGCAAACAATATAGAAATCGTTGTGCTACGATATGGTACTCTGCGCTGCACGCGGCGCATACACACGTGTTGCACGTGTTGCATTATGACACGCTGCGTTACGACACGCTGCATTACGACACGCTGCATTACGACACGCTGCATT